TCTCGACACGAGAGAAAGACGATGAGATATTGAATCAATAACAGAGATCAGATAGCCATAAGAATCACTTTGCCGATGTTATTGATATATACAGAACAAGAAACTTGAAAACTAACGCAAATAGAAGAAGGATCCGACCGACGCCAGAGAAGCCGACGCCGGCCGGGATCGAAGAATAACGAAGCGGTTTTGCCTGAAAAGGTGGCTTTGGAGAAATCGCCAAAACGAGAGAGAAAACGGTTAAATTAAAAACGAATCGAATTTTAAAATTTTTTAGTATCAAATTTAGGCCTCAAAATTATTAGTTATTGCAAATAATAGGTCTCATTTTTTCTGAAATTTTCAGATTTAGTTTCAATTTTTAAATTTTATGTATTTGTTATTGCAAAACGAGACCCCATTTTCTTAAAATTTTAGGATTTGGTCTCAAGTTTTAGATTTTTCTATAAAACCCATCCAAAAAAAATTGTTTTGTAGAGGGCCTCATATTTCACAGGACCGGCACTGTTTATGATAATGAAATTATAAACATGGTGGTAAGAGAATAAGAATTTCAACCCAAAAGCTAGCGTACCTAATTCAAAGATTCGCATGAGTTCTATCCCTTACGCCGATAAATCACGGTACGGTGACATGTAAAATTTGGAGTGGCCATTAAAAACATGTAAAAATATTTTACACACAGAAACGATAAGTTACAGCTTGACAATGGTTCATCAACCATGGTGTTATTATTAACGAATAATATTATTATTTTTTGGAATTCACAATGAGAGAGTAGTTTATACTGTAATACATATATAATGTATATGTGTATGCATCAATCAGTGACATACATGTGCAGCTGTCTCTAGATATGTAGAAGCTGTCGAGGTTTGACCAATCTTTCTATAATTTTTATCCCTCATCATGTAATACTCATTACCAGCAGCCACATGTTTTTTCTTTAAAATATATTACAAACAATATTCGTAAGTATTTACACAAAATAAATGTTCAAATAATTTAACATTGATAGCCTACACACCCATGCATACATATCTGGAAAATGACTATAAAAGTATTTGGAATATTTATATGTTTATAAATATTGCACAGTTTGTGTAATTGTGTGGAAAAATATAATTTCACTTGGCAACAGTTGAATGGGAAATGTGTATTGATGTTGATTTTGTTGCCTACGTAGTAGACGTACACAGTGATTTTGATATGATATGTCTCGCGCGTTTAATAATTGCATCCCTATATAGAAAATAGAATAATAACGAATATACTTACCAATATATAATATCATTTTTTAATTACCATAACAAACTGGCAAAACTAACTGTATATTTATGCATGTTATTTATCCAAAAAAAAAAAAACTTATGCAATTTTATACTTTCTTAGTCTCTCTGTTTTATAAAGAGTGTCATTTTACACTTTTTCACACATATTAAAAAAATTATTAAAATTTCTATTATACCTCTTATCAATACACTAAACAGAATTATCTCTCTTATTAATACATTAAAGAAATAAGGTTAAAATTAGATTTTTATTCAAAATTTTACATTGAAAATACAAAATGACATTTTTTGTGAAACGGAGGGAGTATACTTTTGTACCGAATGTAACTAATATTTGTAACCTATGGGATAGTTTTTTTTTTTTTTTTTTTTTTTGAAGCGTTGACAATGATATGATCAACCATGAGTCCATGACTACATGGCATTAGAAAATTTTAAACCCTAACTCCGATTCAACCTACAGCTATTTGACCAAACATGGTTAGCTGTGTATCTGATCATACAATACAAACGATCTCTTTACAATAGCTGCAAAAGTTAAGAATTTGGTTGTTCTCTTGTCTTCATATTATATGTTTTAATAATATCTGATGAAATAAATTTTAGTTACCATATGCTATATAGATAAATAATATCGTAGAGAAGATTTTAATTAATTAGGAATTTCATTAAATTACAACTTTAGGAACCTTCATGTACATATGTGCTCAGTCGGTCTTAGCAGAAATTGATATGCCAAGCCAATGAAATGTACTAATGAGTCGGTTTGGGTTAATTATATTAGATTTATCCGTATTTGGGTTAATCATTGGATTGAACAAATAAACAAATGCAAAACCAAGCTGTGGTGACAGAGTGATAATAAAAGAGTTTTTTTTTTTTTTTTTTTTTTGACTAGATCATCAATTCGCGGTTGTGAACATAGCTTAGAAATTATGCAAAATAGAAAATTAAAACTGTGAATAATCAAAGGTAAAGTGAAGTTTCTACCCACACAAGTTGTGTAACAACTACTACATCAATTAACGAGTCAAAAATTAAATTACCATATGAAAACGTCAAAGTTAATTAGAAACTAAATTTTATTCATTGAACCGATGAATTTTTGATGTATGGTTATTAATCTGACACAGCATTATATAAACGATTTTTATTTATTAAGTAAAAAAAAAAAGTGTGAGAGAACCATCAATGTTGAACCAATAGATGATAGTCAACTTATGGAGATTAGAGTGCAATTCCTTTCACCACAATGTCAATCATAGTTAGCCGCTATAAACATTTTTATCATATTGATTTCGGTTCGCAATTCCATGGTTATATAATTTTTTTTGTAACGTTGTTAGAACATATGTACTTTTGTACTAAAAAACATAAAACCAGTGTGCAAACAAGATTTTAAGATAGTCTGAAATCCGGTTAACAGAAAAATAAAATATTGTTGGTTGGGAAATATTAGAACAAACGAGAGAGAGTATGTGGAGGTTACGATGAGGAGAAGAGAGTCAAGAGACACAGAGGCACACACTCACTTAAAAGCAAAACCATTTTGGCTAAACCGAAAGACTCGGTCGGAGTCTAGAGCCTGTCTCTCCCGACATCCTCTGCCACACCTCACGTGCATGCTGCACCCACACTCACGTGCACATACATTTTCTAATGTTTTTTTTTTTTACCCAAAACCAAAAATAAAATTAACATATTTACTGACTCTTTCTGTAGTTGTACATTAGTGATGGGGGAAATTGAGGACTTCATAAGTCAAGTTTTTGTTATATGATGCATGCGTATGTTTTTGAGGAAACTTTTGCAGAATGCATAAATCAAATCCAATTATACTTTTATATTATATAAATATAAAGTCAATAGTGGGAGGTGAAAAATTATCAACAATGATTGAGTGTCATTAGAATGGTTAATACTTAATTCGTTTTGATGAGGAGTGGTTTCTAAACACATCAATTGTTGTACGTACATATACTCTCCACGCGCAGCAAATATTGACCCAAAAAAAGCAAAAAAACTAAAGCATGCCTACTTTTATTCTTGTTGAGATTACTTTGTCATCCCATATCTTTTGAAATTTTGATCCTATATATATATATATTTAACCCTAACTTACCAAACTTTACATTCATTATTTTTTTTGAAGTTTTCTTTGCTCATTAGAATTCAAAAGTTCTTGAGATCGCTTCACCTCGAATTAGAAGATTAATTATATACACACATCTCTTGTTTAACATTTATAAACATTTAGATGTCTGATTAATCTATTTACAACTTGTAAATTATAAACTCTAGAAAGAAAAACACGTATCAAACTGCTAATTTCATGGCTATCACCAGTATTTTTGTTTGATACCCTCGATAAGTTGAACATATAAATTAGTGAGCTCTTTATGGTTTTTGTTTAATGTCCATTTAGTGGTGTGACATCTCATATATATGTTCTCACCAATTAAAAGATTACCACTTGAATTCTTTTAATTGTGAAATTTTTTACTGCAGTAATTTTATTCTGTTTTGATCAAAACATTAACTAACATATATTTGATTCTTGTATATATTAATACATATTCGGATATTTGATTGAATGAATACATTGAACAATCATCTTCTCAATGTACTGACCTAAAATCAGTAAAGAATATATCTATCTACTATGAAAAGAGTCAGAGTTGTTCACGAAAGATATTTAAATGTTCCAAATTAAATTCCGTTTGTCTAAAGATAGAAAAGCCACAATAGTGCAATATAAATAAACAAAAGGTAATAATTAGGTCAAAATCTCCCAACTAAAATGCATATGAAATTATAAACTGAGATTGTTCTTATTAAAAAATTCTGAAAAACAAATACTATAAATATGTTAATTTAAAGTAAAATTCAATAAGAAAGATGGCGTTAAATAGGAAAAGGCTCTACAACTACATTTAATATTTGTACGTAGAGAGCTGAAAGTAAGGAACTACTCTACTCCGGTCCAGATTAATCGTAAAGAACTTTATACATTAATTAAAACAAAAAGAACACTTTATTATTGATTTAAAAAATCAGAAGATTAATAATTACACATGAAGGTTAGCTTTAATTGGAGTATAATGATGTCCGTGGCTCTGTAAACATGTGAAGTTCTCCTCCTTTTGCGGCTAGTGGGTGCTCCATTGCGTATCAAAAGGAATATTATTCTAATCATACATTAAGTAATTAAACTACTCTTTCTATTATTGCATTAAAATAAGTGTATTTCCAAAGTTTTTTTCTCGCATTATACGGATATGTCTTAATTTGGACCAATCCATATAAATGAATAAATTTATTAGCTATATTATAACAACAAAAAAATCTGTACATAAAAGAAAAAAAGTGGGACACCTTATTCTCAAGTTCTCTTCAAAATCGGGTTTATGGTATAACCTTCGTAAGAAATTACCATTACCTTGACAAGAAATTCCATATTACTACTAAAGTATAAAAAAATGGTTATAAGAACGAGGGAAAGTTAACAGATTTTTTAAACCATGGACTATTTTTCCAACAACATAAATTACAGTATGAAAAAGATTAGTCTTAAAAAAAAAAGGTGGGACCGACAAGAAGAAGACATCAAGTGGGGTGCCACGTCACAAGGCATAAGAAAATATTTCATCTTTCCGCATGTATCCGATCCCAATCGGCTTAAATCTCAAAATCCTAATTTTTTTTTTTTTAAATAAAAAAGAAAGAAAAAAAAAACACTTGAGAATCTGCAGAAACACGAAAAAAAGAAAAGTTTCAAAGCTTTTAAGAGCTTAAAAATTTGCTTTGAAGCTTCAAATATTCATATGAACTAAATAAGAAAAGCCTTTTGTTTCTTTTTTTTTGCTTAGAAGAAATGATTTTCGTTTTCAAAATCATTATTTAGTTTCTCTCGTGCTCTTCTCTTCTCTATTTTTCTCCTTTTTAGAGTTAAGAGCAAATACAGATTCGTTAATTCTGCTGAAGAAGAACTCTGTTTCTTTCCTCCAACAAACAAAAGTTTTTTTTTTTTTTTTTTTTTTGTTTCTATAAACCATGAAGGCTCCATCAAATGGGTTTCTTCCCACTTCCAACGAAGGTACAACAAGCTTTAAATTTCGAGATTTTAAATTCAATCTCTTTCTCAAGCTTTCTGGGTTTACAGTCTCTGCATTTCATGTTTCTGTGATTTTTTTTTGTTTTGTTATTCAATTTCAACTTGGAGTCAGCACAAAGCCACAAATCGAGTTCTTCTATCAGTCTATTTAATAAAGTGGTTGAAACATAAATGCCGCAAATTTCCATACTTTACATGAAAATATGCAAAATTTCTTGATTTGAACAGATTTGAATATGTTTTATGTGATGATGAACAGGAGAGAAGAAACCAATCAATTCTCAACTATGGCACGCTTGTGCAGGGCCTTTAGTTTCATTGCCTCCTGTGGGAAGTCTTGTGGTTTACTTTCCTCAAGGACACAGCGAGCAAGTAAGTTCCAAACGCTGTTTTATTGCGTTTGAAACCTTTGATAGCAATCTAAGTTCACTGAACCCTTTTCAGGTTGCAGCATCGATGCAGAAGCAAACTGATTTTATACCAAATTACCCAAATCTTCCTTCTAAGCTGATTTGCTTGCTTCACAGTGTTACATTACATGTAAGTCTCTTTTGCCTCCAACTTGTGAATCAAAATCAGATAGAGGAGAAGAGGATGAAGAACTAATCATGACTTTTGTTAAATTCTGAATCAGGCTGATACCGAGACCGATGAAGTCTATGCACAAATGACTCTTCAACCTGTGAATAAGGTCTGAATCATCATTCTTTTTCTGGTACCTTGGTTTAAGTTTGAGGATTTTGAAGCTGATCTTTACTCAAAATGTGTAACAGTATGATAGAGAAGCATTGCTAGCTTCTGATATGGGCTTGAAGCTAAACAGACAACCTACTGAGTTTTTTTGCAAGACTCTTACTGCAAGTGACACAAGCACTCATGGTGGATTCTCTGTACCGCGTCGTGCAGCTGAGAAGATATTCCCTCCTCTTGTATGTCTCTGATCAAAGCTACTCTCAATTTCTTCTGCTTTATCTTTATATATCTGTTTTGCTAAAAGTTCTGAGGGTGCTTAAAAATAGGATTTCTCTATGCAACCGCCTGCGCAAGAGATTGTAGCTAAAGATTTACATGATACTACATGGACTTTCAGACATATCTATCGAGGTTTGAATCATCTCAAGTTTGGTTTATTAGTCCAAAAGATTGAAAAATTCAACCTGAGTTGTTTTCTTTGCTGTAATCTGATCTCAGGCCAACCAAAAAGACACTTGCTTACCACAGGTTGGAGCGTTTTTGTTAGCACAAAGAGACTTTTCGCGGGTGATTCAGTTTTGTTTGTAAGGTATGAGTCATACTTTGATCAAAACACTAAGCAGGATTGGACTTTCCTCTTCTCATAAGGGCACTTGGGTTTGCAGAGATGAGAAATCACAGCTGATGTTGGGTATAAGACGTGCAAATAGACAAACTCCGACTCTTTCCTCATCGGTCATATCCAGCGACAGTATGCACATTGGGATTCTTGCAGCTGCAGCTCATGCTAATGCCAATAGTAGCCCTTTTACCATCTTCTTCAATCCAAGGGCAAGTCCTTCAGAGTTTATTGTTCCTTTAGCCAAATACAACAAAGCCTTGTACGCTCAAGTATCTCTAGGAATGAGATTCCGGATGATGTTTGAGACCGAGGATTGTGGGGTTCGCAGATATATGGGTACAGTCACTGGCATTAGTGATCTTGACCCTGTAAGATGGAAAGGCTCACAATGGCGTAATCTTCAGGTAATGATATATCCGAGCTATGCTAAACTGTTTATGATGGTCATTTCTTCTGAATCTTTTCCTGAATCTTTGTTCATGGTTTAAACAGGTAGGATGGGATGAATCAACAGCTGGAGATAGGCCAAGCCGAGTATCCATATGGGAAATCGAACCCGTCATAACTCCTTTTTACATATGCCCTCCTCCATTTTTCAGACCTAAGTACCCGAGGCAACCGGGGATGCCAGGTGACTTTACTGCTTTCCATAATTTTTTTCCATAGCTGTTTGACTAGTTTCCGGATACTAACCTTGGAGGTTTGTTGTTGCAGATGATGAGTTGGACATGGAAAACGCTTTCAAGAGAGCAATGCCTTGGATGGGAGAAGATTTTGGGATGAAAGATGCGCAGAGTTCGATGTTCCCTGGTTTAAGTCTAGTTCAATGGATGAGCATGCAGCAAAACAATCCATTGTCAGGTTCTGCTACTCCTCAGCTCCCGTCTGCGCTCTCATCTTATAACCTACCAAACAATTTTGCTTCCAACGACCCTTCGAAGCTTTTGAACTTCCAGTCCCCAAACCTCTCTTCCGCAAATTCCCAATTCAACAAATCAAACACGGTTAACCATATCAGCCAACAGATGCAAGCACAACCAGCCATGGTGAAATCGCTACAACAACAACAACAACAACAACAACAACAGCTGCAACAACAACAACAACAACAACTACAGATTTCACACCAACAGCTGCAGCAACAAGGGAATTATAGCAATGGTGCGAGTGCTGTTGCTAACCAAGTCTCTTGTCAAAATCCAAACCAACCTACTGGATTCTCTCAGTCTCAGCTTCAGCAGCAGTCAATGCTCCCTAGTGGTGCTAAAATGATACACCAGAACATAAATTCAGTGGGGAATAAAGGCTCGTCTCAAATGACATCGTTTGTGCAAGAAATGCAGTTTCAGCAGCAACTGGAATTGCATAATAGTAGCCAGTTATTAAGAAACCAGCAAGAACAGTCCTCTCTGCATTCGTCACAACAAAATCTGTCCCAAAATCCTCAGCAACTCCAAATGCAACAACAATCATCAAAACCAAGTCCGTCACAACAGCTTCAGTTGCAGCTACTGCAGAAGCTACAGCAGCAGCAACAGCAGCAGTCGGTTCCTCCAGTAAGCTCATCCTTACAGCCACAATTATCCGTGTTGCAGCAGACACAAAGCCATCAATTGCAACAACTTCTGTCATCGCAGAATCAACAGCCCTTGGCACATGGTAATAACAGCTTCTCAGCTTCAACTTTCATGCAGCCTCCACAGATTCAGGTGAGTCATCAGCAGCAAGAACAGATGAACAACAAAAATCTAGTAGCCGCCGGACAATCACATTCTGGTCACACAGATGGAGAAGCTCCTTCGTGTTCAACCTCACCTTCCGCCAATCACACCGGACATGATAATGTTTCACCGACGAATTTCCTGAGCAGAAATCAACAACAAGGACAAGCTGCATCTGTATCTGCATCTGATTCAGTCTTTGATCGTGCAAGCAATCCGGTCCAAGAGCATTATACAAAAACCGAGAGCCGGTTCAATCAAGGCATGGTAAATTTGAAGAGTGGTGGTGAACAGTTCAGATTTAAAGGCGCGGTAACAGATCAAATCGATGTATCTACAGCGGGAGCGACGTATTGTCCTGATGTTGTTGGCCCTGCACAGCAGCAACAGACTTTCCCACTACCATCATTTGGTTTTGATGGAGACTGCCAATCTCATCATCCAAGAAACAACTTAGCTTTCCCTGGTAATCTCGAAGCCGTAACTTCTGATGTTCTCTATTCTCAAAAGGACTTTCAAAACTTGGTTCCCAACTATGGCAACGCACCAAGAGACATTGAGACGGAGCTATCCAGTGCTGCAATCAGTTCTCAGTCATTTGGTATTCCCAGCATTCCCTTTAAGTCCGGATGTTCAAATGAGGTTGGTGGCATCAATGATTCCGGCATCATGAATGGTGGAGGACTGTGGCCCAATCAGACTCAACGAATGCGCACATATACAAAGGTCTTTCTCTCCCTTTCCAAAGCTCTAATCTTTTGCTTCTTAATTCTCGAATGCTAATTGCCGAAAGTTATGAAACCTTGAAGGTTCAAAAACGAGGATCAGTAGGAAGATCAATAGATGTTACCCGTTATAGCGGCTATGATGAACTTAGGCATGACTTAGCAAGAATGTTTGGCATCGAAGGACAGCTTGAAGATCCGCTAACCTCTGACTGGAAACTCGTATACACCGATCATGAAAACGATATTTTACTCGTTGGTGATGATCCTTGGGAGTACGTTCCAAACCTGAAAAATCACTCTGTAACAATCAAGATTCAAGATTGAACAATTCTGATAATTCTTGTCTGTTTGTTTTTTTTGCACAGAGAGTTTGTGAACTGCGTGCAGAACATAAAGATACTATCATCAGTAGAAGTTCAGCAAATGAGCTTAGACGGAGATCTTGCAGCTATCCCAATCACAAACCAAGCCTGCAGCGAAACAGACAGCGGAAATGCTTGGAAAGTACACTATGAAGACACTTCCGCTGCAGCTTCATTCAACAGATAGAAAAAAAGTATACCAAATCAACTTACATCAAGATCATTCTGAGGCCATCGCAAAGTACAGCTTTATTTTTGTGTGTGTGTACTGCAAACAACAAACTGAGAGGAAGAAGAAGATACTGCAAGGTATATATACATTTTTATAGGACAGTGATTTGAATTTTCATTCTAACTTGATGTTGTTGTACTTTCTTGTTTACATATTTGTATAACCAAAGTATAATGCTTGACAAGTCTATGAAGAGCAAATTTTATACAGAGATACTAAGATGTAATGTAACTAAACAATTACCTTCATTAACCATGAATCTTTTGGTCCTCTCTTCTTCTCTTCAATGCCTCCTAAAGAATCTGGGATCATTTCAGATTCTTTTAAACCAGAATCATCTAGACGCAGCAAAAATATCCAACGTTTTGAAAACGAAAGAGGAATTAAAGAAAGAATCACGTGAAAAACAAGGACATGGACAAGAAAACCAAACAGTCTCTGAGCTTTTCCCGCGTGACCACACACATTAAGACTAAAGCTTCTTCTAACATCCGCCACGTGTCCATTCCCCTGACACTTTGCGGCGTTTTAAGTGCAAACGCGCTCCCTTTGACCTATGATTTTGACATTCTTTCTTCTTCACGCGCCATAAAAAGTCAAAAACTCACTCTTCACTCTTTTTTTCACTCGTATAAATACATTTCTAAAGCGCCAAATTATATCATCTCAATTCAAATCAACACTAACACTGAAGAACAGAGCTCACTGAAAAACTTTAAAAAAAAAAACGGAAACAGAGAAATCGTACCGGGTTGGTTTAATTTGTGATGGAGGAGGGATCGTCTTCTTCGATGCAGTCAAAGTACAAAGGAGTGAGGAAGAGGAAATGGGGGAAATGGGTTTCAGAGATCAGACTACCAAACAGCAGAGAACGTATTTGGTTGGGCTCTTACGATACTCCTGAGAAGGCGGCGCGTGCTTTCGACGCGGCTCTTTATTGCCTCCGTGGCAACAACGCCAAGTTCAATTTCCCTGATAACCCTCCGGTGATCAACGACGGACGAAACTTGTCGCGATCTGAGATCAGAGAAGCTGCTGCTAGGTTCGCTAATTCGTCGGAGGATGATTCAAGTGGCGGAGGAGCAGGATACGAGATACGGCAAGAGTCGACTTCAACATCGATGGACATTGATTCGGAATTCTTGACTATGCTTCCGACTGTTGGTTCGGGTAATTTCGCTTCGGAGTTTGGGTTATTCCCTGGGTTTGATGATTTCTCCGATGAATACTCCGGTGATCGTTTCAGAGAGCAGCTTTCACCTACACAAGATTATTATCAAGGAGAAGAGGATTACGAAGGTGGTTCCATGTTTCTTTGGAATTTTTGAATTTCATGTGATTCACAATCTGAAAATTTTGATTTGGGTTTTTTAATTTTTTTTTGTTATTCTTTTTACCCAATTTTTTTGGATCATTGGGATAAGGGAAATTCATTCATTATTTTTTTCCCACGTGTTAGAATTTTTCAGATGGGAAAAGGCCAACTTAATAAAACAAATATATTTGGATAAAACACTTGTGACGTCAATTGATCATATTATCATCCACTCCGATCGCTTTCACTGGGCCCAATTACTATTCTTATTTTTAATTGTACGACTAAGCCCAATAATAATATTTCAGGCCAATTCAAACCAATAAGGGTATTGATTGTCTTAGCCACTGTTAAAATGACAAATGTGATACAAGAAGAAGAAGAATTAAGAATCTAGTTACGTAATTATCTGAAATTACATACTGCATTATTAAATTACAAGTGGAAAAACATTAATATAATATGTGTGTGTAGACTAGTAAGTACAAAAAAAAAAAAAGGAATCTGGATATTGAAAGAAAAAAGAGTTTAATAATAAAACTAAAAGTTACATAACGTAAAGAGCTTATTAACAAACAAAATGCGAATATCCGACCCGTAAAGAAATGCGGATATCCGGTAGGGCTAAGTCTGTAGCTTCTCCATTTCATCTTCTTTCTCTTCTCCATATTCACAGATTTTTTTCCTATAAAGATTTGCATCTTCCATTGCTCTTCTCATCGTTAAATACATCTCTCTGTTTTTTTTTTTTTTACTTCAGTTTTTCGATTATGTCATTAAGCAATCCAATGACCTGGACACTCTCCCACATGGTGGTTCCAGGAATAAACTCGATTATTACGTCGGCAAATTTCACGGCTAGTCGAACAAGTCCATTAGATATGAAATTTCCCTCGCCTGGAAGTTCGAAGAGGTACGAAGACGGCGGTGGAATTGGTTTAGGTATCGTCGCTGCGCTTGAGAAATCCGGCATCGGGATCAATCCGGTTTGCTATCCTACAACCGGTTCAAACGGATACGATCTGGTTCGCTATCGTAGGAGAGTCCAATTGGCGACGGATATTGATCTATCTGACTCTGAGGAATACACTTGCGTCACGACTCGTGATGGCCGGACCAAAGTCTATTACAACGAAGAAGAATTTGAATTTAGTCAGAATCTATCGACCGGTGATCAGAGATTGAAAAAATCGATAGAAATGGTCGAGGTATCACCGGTGAAGAAGAGAGAGGTGTTGAGAGATTCTCCAGATTTTCTGACTTCATGTTGCTTGTGTAAGAAGAAACTTCAAGGCAAAGACATTTACATGTACAAGTAAGCTCCTCCAATGTGCCCTTTTTTAATAGTTCATATGACAAATTTTCAGATTACAACTCCAAATAAAGTGAAATTGAATATTAATTAATTTTCTTTCTTTCATGAATGTGTAGAGGAGATGAAGGATTTTGTAGTAGAGAGTGTAGATCGTTGAAGATAATGGATGATAGTTTAAACGAGCAACATAAATTGAGAAACTCTCCATGCGTCGGAGAAGAGATTGCCTTCCCCGGAATATTCTTGATATGAATTTGTGAGTGGTCAGGTTGATTCTACCAACAATCACAGATTTTGTATATTTTGTCAAATAGCCATATTTGTCAAGGCTTCGTTTTGAGTATTCTATAACTAGGAAAAAAAAAGAAGAACATTTTTCAGTGTTGGCAAAACAGACAATGATTAACAATTTAAGTACTACTACAAACTAAAAGATTTAGGGTTGATGAAACATAGAAACAAACATTGGAGCAAAATCTCCTCTAAAATAGAAGAAAATATAGAGGTGGGCATTGGAGATGGTTTTAGTCTCCACCACTTCCACTTTCCCTACCCATCCACACTTCTTCAGATCCACCGCGTAACTCCAACCTCCCCTCGCCAACACATCATTTCCCGCCACCATCACCAAAACCCGCCCGCAACCCAACGCAGATAGATCCGACCCGACCACATTAATCCACGGATCCTCCACACCGTTTTCACTATCAGGAGTCGCGATCCTGCAAAGCCTCTCATAATATCTCATCGCTCCCACTTCCATCTCCTCAATCAAAGCTTTTGACAAGAAATACGGATGAAACAGAATCATCCCCGAGATTTTCAAATTTTCCGGCGAGAGTTTCTCTTTCTCTGCTCTAATCGCCATGTGATGTGCGATGTTAGCTCCGGCGCTGTCTCCGGCGAGGTATACTTTACTGAAATCAGCGTGTTTGTTCAGCCGGTCTTCAGAACCAGATCCGGCGATATGAGTGAAGATCCATTGAATCGCGTGCCATGAATCTTCGTACGCGGTTGGAATCGGATGCTCAGGTGCACGCCGGTGATCTACTGAGACGGCGATGCAATCGGCGGCTGAAACAGCCGATGTGAGAAAAGTGTGGTAAATTGTAGAGAAAGCTGTTTCCATGATGAAAGCTCCGCCGTGAAAGTAGACGAGTAGTGGGATTTTCCTAGCGCCGGTGTCATCGACGGATTTCTGAGGGAGGTAAATGCGGAGAGAGAGGTTTTTCTCCGGTGAATAGACTGCGTCTTTAGATACGACGCCGCTTTCGGGTTTTAGCGACGGTGGGATGAATGTTTCCGGTACGAGGCGTTCGATGCGGCCGTTCTTGAAGATCCGAAACCTCGGAGAATAGTCGAATGCGACATCGGAATCCATTAGAGATAGTTATGATTAGGAAGATGATTAAGAGTTGATTTTTTTATATTTATACGATTTATATATATGAATGATCTCTAATCTCTAGAGTTTTGGTTTGGTTGAGATGTCACATTAATCTTTAGTTGTTGTTGTATACACATACCTACTAACTCATAATTCATCGGTTTAAATCATTAAATATGAGATTAGTGATGATAACAAGTAAACGATTTTTGTGATGTTTTTGTAAGGCAATGAAGACACACCTACTAACTTGATTGGTGATGATAACACAGAAACTGTGGAAATGTGTAAAATGTTAGAGAACTACTCATTACAGAAACGAATAAAGTTAACAAGAGATGTACAAGAAGCACTTTGAAAGGACTATAAGATATTTGATATAGTTGATAGTTGATACTATGGTTCGTCAACAAAAATTATTGTTCTTCTTACAAAATCAGTTACATACATAACTAATTTTGATATAACCCAAAGCAAGGGGATTTAGACAGACGACAATACCTAGTAAAACAACAAACTAAGACGAATACTAACAAGAATTGATCACTAATCAATACATACAAATATATGAAGTTTCCTAATCATTGAGTAGTTGTAACAATATAACAAGCTTAAATCAAGAAGCATGAAGATATATAGGAGCTTTTATATCTTGTATTGAAGCAACGTCAAAAGAATTTCTTGCAACGGCTTGAGGATGGTCTAACGGTTAGAGTTCATATTTCAGCTGCCAAACCGAGCCAGGACATGTTGTCTGCGGTTTGAGGCTTTGAAGACGCTTTGGCTGGATCGCATAATTGGTATGGTGCCTTTGACGTAACTCTGTCCTTTCTCTTCTCCAAGAACCGGTGAAGTGAAGCTCTTCTAGCAATAGGAAGTTCTGTCAGTGGTGTTGGGGAGGATTGGATTGGCTCTTGTGTTGGGGTTTTTCTTGGATGAGGAACTTGGTTTGTGATGGTAGCGATGTTGCTTCTGATCTCGCTTTGATTCTTGGCTAAGATGACATTAGATGTGAAACCGGTGAAGCTATTAGCTGTGCCTTTGCTAGCCAAGTTCATCACTTCTTTGGCTTTCTCAGCAGAAAAGTCATTGAATACAATCACTTGCCCGGCGTAGAATATAGTCAATGGTGCAGTTTGAGACTCTGGTTTCACAGATCTGGTAGTCTGTGTCATTTTCAGAACATCTTCCTTTGGAACAGAGGAAGATGAGGAAGAAAAACTTAGTTGCCGTGGAAACAAATTCGTCGGTTTAACATCTTGAACTGGTGCTGCCATATAATCCATGTTTGAAGCTTCACAAGGGAATAAACTCATCGTTGTTGTCGGCTGACGTGAGTTGCCAAAAGTTCCTGCAAATAGATGATCCAAAAGTAAGAACTCTCTCCCATAATTTTCTTTGAATCGATTCGCAATTCTTTTCAATTTTCTTGAAATGTTTGCAAGATCAAGATTCAAGAATTCGAAATCAGAGAAAACGTTAAAAAAAAAAAAAAGCTGGATCTAGGACAAAGAGAAGGTTTCTTACCATTGACATCAGGCTTGCATGCCATGCCTAAGCTCAGATCTCCAAAGCTACCGTTCTCTTTCAGATACTGACTCAATCGACTACACGTCTGTGAGAAGCTCGGCTTCCCAGTATATCTCCGACTAGCGACGAACTCAGAGCATTCCATAGAACTCGACATCTTTAACAAATAAAACTTTCAAAACAAATAAATCTCCAATCTTATTCTTCAGAATAAGGTTAAGGTTTTTATTCTTGTTGATGTTGTTGCTTCTCTGCAAATTGAGTTTGTCACGAGGGAGAAATGGAGGGTCTCTTTAAAGCTTTTTGGGTTGGTTTTGGTTTGGTTGCAGAGTTCTTCCTTCCTACTTCCAATATAACAAAACTACATATTAATAAATTAATAAATACTACTACTTTACTTATCGACTTATCGTATAAAAAACACGTGTTTTATTTATTTTTGTTTTAATATAATCGGGAAATGTGTCTCGGTTCACTGTTCTCCACGTTCAACGCTTTCCGTTTATTTTCAGATTACGATTTTATCCTTCTTCTTCACGAGCCTATTGGTTGTTTGTTGGTGGTAAGGACGAAAGTCAAATAAAACACAAGATGCATGTAAAGAGATGTTAGATTTTATCTTTAATCTTTATTTATTAGTAACGTAAATTAGTTGTAGGCAACTAGGCATAATTCTCGTCGTGATGAATTTGGTGCTGATTAATTTTTTTTTTTTTTTTGGGTATCCGATATGTTAACAAGAAAATCAACTTAACACGTCGTCCAAAATTACTTAATTTTCCTAATTTAGAAAATCACATATAACAGTGAAATATACTATATAAAATAAAATAAAAACGAAGCAAATAAAAACGCGTTAGAATCAGTCAACAGTCCAGCCTAATCTCTTAAATGCTCTTCATTGAGACTAAATAATCTTATAATCAAAATTAAAATCTATATGATATTTTATACTCGAAGGATTTTAAAACTTACTATTAGTATTATAAAGTATATTAACGCGTGATTCATGCAGAGAGACAAGCGAAGGTTTGTCTAATATCTAGAAGAAAATAATAAATAAAAATATAGAGTCTGCTAGTTGTCGAGTTGGAATAAAATGAGGCACAAGCTAATAGTCATACATCAAAGTCAACCCACATGTCGACCGTCAGAATTGATAAAATGCCATGAACTTCAATCAATAAATATTACAAACTGGGACATAATCAAAAGGCTCGTAAAGGAAAAGGACACAATATTTAACATATCCGAAAGCAAATGACTAATCCATATGTGAAGGGTATCATCGTCAACTAATAAAGTAAACGGCGTTAGTTAACTGTGAGTGGTCCCCAATTTAGGACAACTCCACCATCCACATGTTCCGTCGACCACGTTTTTGTTGTTATGCGTTTTTTGAATAATAAGAAAAAAGAAGCAAAAGAAGAAGGAAACCACAAGGAAAGGAGGTTGGCAAGTGCACGTTGTCTGTACCTGTTTTATATGACACGTGTTTAGCTATGGTTGGTCTGTTTTTCTACGCGTGTAGATTCTTCTTGTATTTCAGTATCCGGGGCTGTTCTACGCTGCTACGCGACCTATAGAGATGAGAGTTCCAAATGTAAATGGCTAAAGTTGAACTCTAGAGCTCCTTTCCCAAAGTAGACCAAGCCCAAGTTCAGATTTTTTTAATCCTATATATCTATACATGTATTATATATGTATAATAAAAAATATTTATTTATGCAAAATAAACCTATACTCATTCTTTTCCTTGTTAGTTTTCGTTTGAATATATCTACATATCTATAACGAATTTTTGATGAAAAAAACTCTAAAACCTAACTTCTTAAGTATGTTTAGGTTTCACCTACGTGGATGACATGTTTATAGGCTACATAAGAAAACGAATAATAGATAGATCTGAAATTGTAATTTGGTCTATGATATACACATTAATGTTTAATTAGACTTGGATAATTCGACACAATTTCCTTTATATTAGATTAATCAGTAAACAAAGTACGTGACAAAATATTATAATATAGACTCGATAGACACAATTCGGAAGAAAAAATCGCCCGATACAACGAGTCTTTCTTTTACATAATTGACAGAAACTTTATTAGTAGAAGATTAGATATAAAATTCAAGATATATTTCACTAATAAAAAAACTCAACTAGTAGTTTTGAGTTTATTGGTTAGAAAGTTGGAACGTATAAGATATGAAATGTGGGCTATGAGCCTAGAGAAAAGTAGATAGGAATAGGATTAGATTAAACGAGAAAGATCGTCAAACTCGTGGGAAATGCGTGTTCTGTAGTATTTTAGTGGTTGGGGAAGGAATACAGATCCGCAATGCAAGTTGAGTAACGTGTCCAAATATATATATATTTGTACTTTTACAACTATTTATGCATCATTTGAGTTTACCTTTAATTTATAGTACTATGTATTATTATAGTATAGTGTTGTAGTCCTTGTTAATGATTAAACCAATATCGTAGAAACTTTTATGTCTAGTATATTATACAGGTGCAAGTGAAGCCAATCTTTTCGTTTAGGTTTTTTTTTTTTGAGAAAGGTAATACTTACCAAATTTACACGGTATTGACTTTGCTTAGCTAGCATAGATTACGTAGCCACGTTGTATAGTTTCTATTTGTTTAACAAATTCTTATATACTACAATCAATTATACAAATACATGTTTTGAGAAAAATTAAAAATACTATATAATATGCACATGAAATTTCTAGAAATGATCAAACAATTGTTCTGCAATTTCTTTTTGGTACATGTAAAGAGGTACGCATGCGTTTGTTAGACTTGCAAAAATAAATATTATATAGATAAAATGTTTAAAAAAAAGAAAGGAAAACTATTATATACTACTAGTAGATAGAAATAATACAGTTGATGAGGCGCCACATGGGTCGTGACCATTATTGGTTGGAGTCGTCGGTGTTCTGCAGAATATAAATGTATGAAACTGTGCTAATTAACTTTATTAGTGGAACATGCTTCTCGTGACATTAAATTAAGATTTTTTTTATATAAATTAGATATTTTTGAATAATTTATCTTATTTCTTGTTGGTGCTTGGCTTTCGTGCTAGGTCAAAATGTGAGTTCAGTCAATCAAAAACCACATTCTCGCGATTGTTTTTTTTGGCCGGAGTTGGCTATCAAAACCTAGCTAGTAGCTAGTTAAGAGCAGTTTGGCATGAGCTTCGAGTATAAGGTGTGAGTCCGCTTTGAAAAGGATCATGAACCAACCTGGTTCACTGAATATGCCGAGACCATGTATCATGCGCGTTAACATACGAGCTTAGTAATGGAGTCGTCGAATACAACAACACGTGCTTTCGATAACCTCAACATGGACATTCTGAATTTTCTAAGCATTCTACCGCTCAACTGTATACCTCAACATTTATGAGTTTGAGTTTTGTGTTCATTCATTATATTCATCAAAATTAGTATTCTTTAATTCGATCAATAAAGCAACTTAAATTTCTTTTCTTATAATCTATTGTTTGTTCATCCTCGAATTACAGTATCCAAGACTCAACAGTTCTTTTTATACTATCATTAATAGACCTATTTGTGATAAATTTTCGTATCGAACTAGCTAGTAGTCTGTTGATTTGTATTAATTAGTATTGTCCTCATAATGCAAGCTGTTTGTTCGACTCTAATTGAAAAAAAGATACCCAAATATCACAAAAAAGAGTAGAAAACCATATTACAAATATATTTCACAGTTTCTTCCTTTATTGTGGAAAATGAACTGCTCCTTGTCGATATTTTTAACATCTACTTTTTTAATGAAGCCATGAGTTTGAATAGTTACAATGAAAGACATCAGAAATTATAAAAAAAATTGGGCCATTTTTCGACTTGTGCATGATTTTTACCCTTTTCTTTTCTGGGCAAATGAATTTTTCCGGTATGATTCCAATATTTATTTCGACATCAGAAATAAAACTATTTATATTTATTATTTTTTAATTAAAATCACAACCCAAAAGCGACGAAGAGAAATAGTCCAAAGAAAAAAACAAATAAAATTTCATTTTTGTGTCCCAAAATTTACTTTTATGTACACAAATGATCCCAAATGACAATGAATTGAAAAAACATTCAAATGTCGTAGTCAATGTCCGTCACATTGGACTCAGCTCCAGGCTTAACAAGACGACCTTCCTCGTCGTAAACATCAAAATTCTCGCAAGGTCGTGGAAATATCGAACCGAAGACTCGTCCTTTCACGAACGAACATTGGAATATATGTTTCTTCTTATACGTTAACCCAACGGACATATCCCGAAACGTCACATTCCTCACCGGAATCTGTTCGCTACCATGTATTCGGACCGGCACTCGCACTCCTTGTCCGTGGATTCCTGCAAAACTGAATCCTGAGAGTATCGGATATGCTTTCCGATCATAATTATCGTCTGCATGCTCGTTGTAATCCGTTTTGATCACGATCCCAACCCGAACATTGTCTAGTGTTAGGTTTTTGTAGGTTATGTTTCTGATGTAACCGCCTCGTCCTGGTGCCGTTTTAATTCTGATTCCACGACGTGAGTTCCAGATCAGAAGGTTCTCGATCGTCACGTTAGATATTCCACCAGACATTTCGCTTCCGATTGATACACCAGCACTGTCAAAACATATAGAACACTTCCATGTTTTGCTTTAAAAGAAAAAGTTTTCAAACTTTTGCGGTATTACATGAGAAATGAGAAAATTCTTTACCTGATAACAGAGCGAACAACGAGATTACGGATAAGAATGTTTGTTGAAGGTCGTCCATATGCAATGCCAAACTGATCCCATCCACTCTTTATCGCAATCGCATCATCCCCTGTGCTAATGTAGCAGTCCTCAATTACCATATCCTCACACGAATCTGTTTACGGAAATAAACACGGTACAAAAGGTTATAAATTTATCGAGCACAGAATAACCGAAAAACAGATATAAGCGGTAAATGAACATACCCGGATCAATTCCATCGGTGTTTGGTGCTCCGGTTACAGGAGCCAAGATGGTGACATTCCTTATTGTTACGTTTTTGCAGTCATATGGATGCAGAGTCCAGAACGGTGAGTCCCGCATTGTTATGTTAGCGATAACTATGTCACTCGACCACATTATTTGAACTAAAGGCCCCCTCGTATAGTTGAGAAGTCTTCTTTGATACTTCTTCCACCACGATTGTCCTTGCCCGTTTATTGTTCCATTATGACCTGTTTGTTATATCCGTTAGTTACTAACCCGGTCATCATAATATCACAAACATGAACTCGAAAGAGGAAAACCACTAACCCGTTATCACAATGTCTTTGAGGTTTTGACCATGGATTAAGCTCCCATAACGAGGTCCCGGATGCTCTCTACCGTAACCATATGAAGGCAATGGTGGCATTAAAGGCCAATACTTCTCATCCTGACAATTAAAGTGACACGTTGAGTAAATAAGACTCACACATCCATCACGCAAAGTCTCAAAATCTTCTGAAGTATGTTCCTTCATCCAACCAAAACCAAACAAACACAGTCATTGTACTCTAACTTGGCTAGAGTGAAGTGACCTGTAACCCTACAAATCTAATGTTCCAAGCTTAGTGGTGGTTGAAAGTTCTACAATTTTGACCTAAACAGAGCTAAAGCGTCTGACTTTCAGTAAACAATAACCAATCAAAACATTTCACAAACCTCAACGCCAAGAATCTCGGAATCCTCAGCAAGAAACAGAGTCATATGGCTAGTGAGATTAAACGGCGCCGTGAGCCACCGTCCAGGCGGCACATTCAGCTGTCCTCCGCCGCTATTTCTCTCAAGCTTCGAGATTGAAATCACAGCTCTCTCGAACGCTTCGGTGTTAAGCGTAACGCCATCTCCGACCCCTCCAAAATCCTTCAAATCAAACACAACTGGTCTCAATCGGGGAAGTGGCTGAATCGGTTTGATCTTACCGAAAATCGTGAACTTTCCTCCGATGGGACCAGCTCCAGAGCCGCCCTCGATGTAAGCCGTTCGCTGCCATAGGAAGACGGAACCAAAGGCAGTGATCCAGAGAAATGTGAAGAGTGTCTTGTGAGAAGCAAGGAAAGAAGTAAGACGACGCTTCGGGTCAAGTCTCTGAAGATGAAATTGAAATCGAGAAGGAAGCAAATTCTCAAACATGGTTCGATTTACGAGGAATTAGAAACATTGAGGTTCTGATTTTGGTGCCTCAGATCTAGCTGAGAAATAGTGAATTAGAAGCAAAGATCCGCCATGAGAGTTGAGAAGTCTGTGTCAGAAGCTGGTGAGAGAGTTTGGTGTGTGTGATTCGATTCAATTCGATTGAGTAATCGAACCAAACCGGCAAGTTAAGCATACCGGTTTAGTTTGGTTCAGGTGTGGTTGTTTATTGGGAAAAATGTCATTAAAATCTCCAATTTATTCAAAACGTTGATTTAAATCTTCAACGACGAAATGGAATAAATATCAAACTTATGTTGACTTTCCAAATAAATATTAAACTTATGTTGACTTTCCAAATAAACACCAAACTTTCATTGACTTGGTCATATTAGGCATGACGTTAAGTGGGTTAACATACTATGTTAACGGGATTAATTTTCTGTTAACAAACCCGCTAATTAAAAATGACAGTATTCCTTCTAAACATAAAACGACGTTGTTTTGTCGTAACTGCTCAATAAAATCCCGAGTTTCAAATCATATGAAGATTTAGGGTTAGAGATTTTGCTCGATTTGAGGATCTAAGATTGACTGTAGGGATTTAATTCAATCGTTACGACAAAACGACGTCGTTTTGTTGTTATATGAAACGATGTTGTTATCAATTAACATGTATGTTAACAGAAAATTAACTCCGTTAACGAGATATATTAACCCACTTAACGTCGTACCTAATATGGCCAGGTCAACGGAAGTTTGATATTTATTTGGAAAGTCAACATAAGTTTGATATTTATTTTGAAAGTCAATATAAGTTTGATATTTATTTCGTTTCGTCATAAGTTGAGGATTTAAATCAACGTTTTGAATAAGTTTGGGATTTTAACGACATTTTTCCCGTTGTTTATTCGTCTTTGGTGGAATATATAATAACCGATTTTACATTAAAAGTCGTTATTAGGTTTCTTCTTTTGTCCAAAGACCAAAGTTCACATAAAATGTTTACTGTTTACATTACATATTTACATTCTCAATCTTTTCTTTATAACTTAACTAGAGATTTACACATCTTTAACCTATAATTTCAAAGTCCTATATACTAGCCCTTGATAACAAATACAATAGATCCAAAAATATAAATTATTACTCTTGGACGTAGCATGAAGAATAGCATAATTTGCGATATGTTTTTTAATTTTCTAGATAGTTTAACTCATATTACACTACAAGAAATATCTACATTATTAGCAAGAGAGAAGAGCTATTATATGTCATCAATAGCGTTTTCATAAACGCTGTCTTATGCCTCTGTTATGGTAGACCCCCATATACGATAGCGTTTTTTCCGTATGCTATGATAGAGTACTCTACCATAGCATTAGTAAAACGCTTTGTTATATCGCCTTTCTATTTGTTATAAATTATGTGATAAGTCATTTTTCATGCTATGTTAGATGCTCATTTTAAACGCTATAATATATTTTGTTATGACTCTTATTTTATGCAATAATACTTGCGTTTTATGTGCATATTATTTCACATTTGCGAAAACCTCTTTTAAAATTTATATAAAATATTTACATTTCGTAAATCATCCACACCATACAAGTAAAATGTCTCAATCCAAGGCTTAAACTAAGATTACAAGTACCAAAATTAACAAACTTGTTCTCATATCTAAGCTGAGCCTAATTTCTAATATGTGTAGATTTTGGGCTGCACTCACTTGGGACTTGACTTGAGACTGCACTTGAGACTGCACTTGAGATAGCAAAATCTTGGGCTGCACTCACTTGAGACAGCAAAACAAATTAGCTCTGACAAAGAACATTTATAATTTATCCACAAAACAATCACAACCACAGTAAACTACTAAAACCAACAAAAGAGATAGAGATAAGATGTATCATTTACTCACTTCTTCTTGTCAATGTAAGGAACATCACTCTGTCTAGCCTTCCCATATTCACCTTTATTCAGTTACAAATTAGAAACATAAACTAACATTGTAAAGGGAAAGTTTAGAAAACATACGGGAACTTTGTTGGGGTTCGCTCTTATACGAGTAGATTCAGCCATTCTCATCTCTGAGATCAAAAAAATGCCATAAAATTTAGTCACAGCTAATGGATCATACAAACACATGAACACATCTTATAGCTTAAAGACATGTGATCTAAGGAAAGCTGCACAAAAGAAAAAAAAATACATGAGGACAGCAAGTAAGAAAACGTTTACTCACCTCTTTATTTGTCTCTTCTTTGCTCTTTACCTCATGTGAAGGATCTAAGTAAGAAAAAAAACAAGTATCATTATGAATAATAGATGTTAACTACAACTAAGACAAGTCTTGAATATAAAACTGAATATCATGAACCACGAACTCTAACCATTAACATCCCACAAATTGATGTTTCAGAAACCAAACCAATTAAACAAGTTTGATGCTACCTTCACTATCAATATTCTTTCACCTGAATTCTGCATCAATTGCTTTACTATATAGTATATATGTATCGCAAAAACAGATCCATTCTTAAAGAAACCACAAGAATTTAAAGGCAAAACCTAACCTTCCATGGAGAGCTTCCGCTCTTTCAATAAAACATGGGCTGTGTATAAACAAATGAAAAAGACCAAATTAAACTCCCAATAAACGTCCAAAGAAGCAAAAGTTTCTTAATAAACGTATCATGTTAATTACTTAATAAACTTCTATGCTCTAATTAACAACACACTAATTTTTAAAACCTCCGTTGTCGGAAATACACATGATTGTGGATAAGAAAATACATAAGTTAAGTTACACATGATCAATCAAACCAATGAAACAAACAGAGAACAATTATCATAAATGACTTCTCCTTGTTTTGTTAGCTTGACGAGAAGCTGGAGGTAGATTAAGGAGCATTTTTTTGGTCTTCTAGCTACTGTCTCCTGCTATAAGAGCGATACCATACAAAAACAATGAGAAAACCCAATTCAAAACCTCAAAATTTCAGAAAAAGACCATCCACATTCAAATCCATAACCTAAAGAATGTTACAGATACCTTATTCGAAATCTTCGAAATCAAGTTCGTAAACGAAAACTTCATCATTAAAGATAGATGGAGAAACAAATCAAAGGGGAAAGGGAGACGGAACCAACAAACCTTATTCAAAATCTACAAAATCGATCCAAAGAAAAAAGGGAGACGGAACGAATTTGAAGACTAAGGTCATTACAAACCCAGACCACGAAACCCTAATCCCAAACGCAGATTCAAAGGGGGAAAGGGAGACGGAACCAACAAACCTTCTCTGAACGAAACCAGCTTCTCTTTTTGTTCTGATATAGAGAAATCCAAACCTAAAGAAACTTTCAATATATAAAGGAGAAGAACAATGAAGAATTTTGATTGTAAAAAGCCGATTTAGGGTTTGGGTGAGCTTGGTCGGAGGAAAGGTGGCTGAGAGGGAGGAGGTGACTGAGAGAGAGGAGGGTGGGGGAGACGGTTCAGCTATAGCGGCGGAGACGGTGGAGGAATAGATAAAAGACACCGAGGTAGATGGAGGAGAAGATGGTTGCTCTCGAGAGCTGTTTTTTTTTCTTTCGGTAAAAGTTTTTTTTTTTTTTTGGTCTCGTGAGCTGTCCTAATGTAAAGAGAAATGTTAGTTTTTTTCACAAGTGTCGGCGCTTAACTAAATATTTTGGGCTAAATATTAGCGGAATAAATGATTTTAGCTTTCCGCTTAGTGATGTTCTATCTTAGCGTTGTTTCAATGCTACTATATAATAACTAAAATAAAATTTTATCTTTCATAGCAGTTACGGAAAATGAGCTATCCTCTTGTGCTATCAATGTGGATATTTGTTGTAGTGTTACACACATAATTGACCCGAGCCACTGATTTTGGCCACGTTCGAGCATAGCATTTGTGGAGAGGTTCGGGTCATGCCGTTTGAGACAAAAGTTGATCAAAGACAAAAACCACTGAAATTTTTAAATTGATAAACATATATACTTCATACTTCTATATTACCAATCCCCTAGTGAAGTACATTCACATGTAAGTATAGACATTTGTGAACAAATATATTATTAGTGAATAACCAATCATGTATGATACATGAATAAATAATGCACTCACATATGGACCCTATAGTTTTTTTTTTTTTTTTATCATTGAATATAAGACATATATTTTTATTTTTTACAGTCACCAGCTTCTCTTTTCCAAAAAATTATTTCACCACTTTTCATACAAATTTCGCCAAATCAATCGAAATATATGAATGGTATGTCGATTCAACTAAGAATTGTACTACTATTTTCCGTAATTACCAAGGTACTGTAGATCTAAAACCAAATATTATATATTTGATTTCTGAAAAAAATATATTAAGTCAACCACAATGGTATTGGTTAAATTGTTTGTCAATTCAACTAAGAAATACGGCTATTTTTGTATATTAATTTGTTTCGAATCCAAATACATTACAGTAAAAGTTGACTTAACAGTCTAGATTCGAAATTAATTAATATACAAAATATAGTCGCAATTCAACTAAGAACTATGTCTATTTTTCGGTATATTCATTTATTTTGAATCCAAATTTATTACAATAAGAATTGACTTAGCCATCTAGATACGCAATTAACTAATATACAAAATATACTCGCAATTTTGGAGTGAATTGACTTAATTATTTAGATACGAAATTAATTAGTAATACATTTTCATTTTGAAGAAAACATCAAGTCAATCTTTCATTAATGACTAAGCAAATTTCTTCCCATTGTATACATCTATATATTAGATATATAATCCTACAGCAATGTATAGATGAGAAACACAACAATTTCTCTATCAAAAAAAAAAAAAAAAAAACGAAAGTTTCTTCTTCTTTAAATATGATTCCTGAAGACCTTTTGGACGAAATTCTCCTAAGGTTACCTGTGAAAACCTTGGCGAGATGTCTATGCGTATCCAAGCATTGCTACTCAATCATCCGCAGTCGACGTTTCATCAACTTATACCAGTCTCGATCCTCTACTCGTGAGTCACGTGTCATGTTTGCTTTCCGTGATGTATACACATTTCTTCGCTGGTATTTCTTCTCGTTACCTCAACCACCTTCTTTAGTTACCAATTCAACATGCTGCATCGATAGTACATCTTTTTGTATGCCTGTTTGCGTCCACGGCTTGATATGTGTCGAACACATGTTTCGGCTGTGGATATGCAATCCTGTCACGGGAAAGGTCGCACTGTTGCCCCAACCAGGTCCCCGTGAACAATTCACGACATGGTATATGGGATATGATCCTATCAATTACCATTATAAGGTATTGTTTTTGTCAAAAAAATGTTTATTAGATGCATATAAAGTGGAAGTGTTTACATTCGGAGAAGAAAGTACATGGAAAACGATCGAGGATGGGAATGTTCACTTTCCAGAAACCAGAGGAATATGCATCCACGGGGTTTTGTATTACGGTGCTCACACGGGGAATGGACCGAAAATTGTGAGGTTCGATGTGAGGACGGAAAAGTTTGGTAAGTTCATTGAATTTCCGGCTGAGGCTTGTGGTATTTATGGTGTGTGTTTGGGTTTCTATACCCTTGTGGCCTACCAAGGGAAGCTAGCTTTACTTGCTTCAAAAACCATAAGCATATATGATTTATGGGTTTTGGAAGATGCCGAGAAACATGCGTGGTCTAAGGTTTCTATCGTCATAACTCCAGAGATGTGTTCGTACGAGCTTATTTGGCCAGGTGTGACGGGTTTTGTTGCTGGTAGTGATGAGCTTATAGTTACTGCTCGTGATCAATTTCATGAGTTTCATCTTGTCTATGTTGATCTCAAGACGCAACGTTCGAGGGAAGTTCGGTTCGAAGGAATCAGATCCTCATTTGGATCATCGCTGGTGCTTGCTTTCACGGATTACGTTGAAAGTATTGTTTTACTGTAATATAAGAACAAGAAGAGTGATCTTGTCCTTACATCACATGAGTGTATGGATTCTTCTTTCGTTTAATGTTTTAAGTTTTTTTTTCTTTCTTTCATGTTGGTCGGTTTTTGTTTTTCTTTTTCTTGTTGGAGTTAATGTTTTAAAGTTTATGTAGCAAGTCTCGTCCAAGTCAATCGTTTGTCGTAGGACTTTTAATAATAAAGCTCATTTTCTCGTCTTGTTTCTTCTTCATATACTTATTTTACATGTTACGTAATTAATTAAGCATGAGTTGTTTCACCAAAAAAAAAAAAAAAAAATTAAGCATGAGTTGTAACAACCGCGAGTGACGCTATATACAAAAGTTCAACATCCATGATCTATTATATTTATAAAAAAATTAAATTTGCCGCAGGATAATCCTCATTAATGTGATGTAAATGCCTGCAAAAGAAGTACGTACCAATGAAGGCTGATCAATACACATAACACATAGCATCATCATGATAATGATCATAAAAATTTCAGCTTACCGAGAAGACGTTGCAATGACCAGGATCAGCAAGATGAGCCATGAGATTTTCAATTGGATCTTGACTAGTGTAGGTAGCTTGGAAACAGAACCCAACGAAAGCAAGCATCGCGAGCCGTCCGTTTTTAATCTCTTTAGTCCTCAAAACCATTACCGGTTCAGGAGAACCTCTACCCCACATCATAAAATCGAACCATAAACCTCCCGGGTAACCAACATCCGGTTTAGGATTTACTTTGTGCGGGTACTTTGGTTCTATGTCCACAGACCCCGGTTTAATCAAATCAGCCCATCTTCTACCTTCTGCCCAGCCCATTAAAACCATTTGAGCCACAAATAACGTAGTGGAATCCGCGAAGTACTCACGAGACCCTGCTTCGTACCATGAGAAATTTTCAATGAAACCTAACCGCTCGAGACATTCCGGTATTAGGATACCGGTCACGGCCAGCATTGCCCACCGGCTATGTATGAGCTCAGCTTGTGCAAACCATTTGAGGGTGTCCGGGTCAGACCCTATGAAGCAAAAACCGGTTAGTCAATAAAACACTTGGTTAGCATTTTTAGAGATAAATACGACAAGATCCCGTGTAGATATATGTACCTAAACCGAGAGGATCGAAACCAAAATCACCAGGTAAGCTGCAAGAAGAGTTTCTAGAGTTAAATTGAAAGTTTTTATGGACAAAAAAAGTATCAATAAAGAAAGGCTAAGTATGAACCTGCCATCGAGCCATTCAGGTGGAGCGCTACCAGGGAACCACAAAGGACGGTCCGGAGGAAGTGGTTCACAGACGCTAGAAACTTCTTTGCCGGCACGAGCCACCACCAAGCGCTCACTCATTCTTCCACCGGTGGGTGATGCGGACGCTACTAGTGGTCTTCTCTGGGTCGCGTTTTGGACTCTGCTCGTAGATAATGTGAGTGTGGAAGTGAGAGCAGAAGCAATGGCAAAAGCCATCTTTGATTCGTGGGAGATGAAAATGAAAATGTCTAGCTAGTGTCATCTTTGATTGTATGGGACTCGTATGTTATGGGCTTTGTTATCCAGAAGAATTTGTGAAGCCAGTGTTACTTGACACGTGGACGGTTCGATGTGAAGGATAATTTACATTAAAATGCTGATTCGGAATTCTCCAATGCCAATGGGGTTCTTTAGTATAATTTAAATTTATTTTCGTCTTTTAAGCAAAAAATGATAAATAGTTGGCCAAAACTATAATTAATAAATTAAGAAAACGCCCAATCACTTCGTTACCGGGGTCGATTACGAAGAAAGGAAGCTCTTTTACTTTCTCGTGGCAACGATCTCATCAACGTGTCACAAAACTCAAATCTCTTACTCCGGCGAACGATGTACCGAACGGCGGCGAAGCGTCTTCTCGCCGGCGGTGGATTCACAACCACCCGTATCCTCCGATATCCGAAGCTCAGGTCAACAATCATCCCTTCCTCTTACACTTCCGGTCTCTGCACTTCGTCGATGGGTGGTGGTAATACTGAATCGCCAATGGGTAATCAATCTGTGAACCCTAATCAATCGGGTCCAACGGCGGGTACAGGGGAAGGACAACGTCGACATGAGAGCAGGAAGCCGAGAGCTGAGTTCCAAGAAGAGCAGGCTCGTGTTCTCTCTGCGTCTCTCCGTCACGTGGTGTGTATAAATTTCCTTGATTCACCTCAAAGTTTTATCCTTTTTAGCGTTTGATTTCCGTATTTGGGAGTTTTGTGTAGCCGAGATTAGGTTGGACGGAAGAAGCGATGATGGCTGGTTCAAGGGATGTTGGTGTGTCTCCTTCCATTGTTGGGTCTTTCTCCAGGAAAGAAGCTGCACTTGTTGAGGTAATGGCGTCTCTGGAATCGGTAAATTCTGTAGATTTTGAGCTTGAAAGCTTGGATTTTGGTGGTTCTATTGTTGAGTTTCGTTATTTGTGTTTACTCTTGTTCAGTTCTTCATGGATGAATGCCTTCAATTGCTTATGGATAGGATAGACTCTGGATTGGATTTACAAAACTTGATCCCAAGTGAACGTATTGCCAAGCTCATTAGAATTCGCCTAGAAATGCAAGTCCCTTACATGTCAAAATGGCCCCAGGCTCTTAGCATCCAAGTAAGTAATAATGGGATTTTCCCTGTTTCATGATAAGCTCAAGCCAATCCTGATGTTTGATGTATATCTCATTGGTGAAACAGGCGCATCCTCTGAATGTCCCAACGAGTTTTAAGCAACGGGCAATGTTAGTTGATGAGATATGGCATGCTGTTGGAGATGGAGCCTCGGATTTAGATTGGTATGTCAAGCGCACTATTCTTGGAGGCGTTTACTCAACTACCGAGATTTACATGCTCACCGATAACTCCTTAGGTTGGTTTTTAGTCTTCCTCTCTTGGATGCATTGATGTCATCAAAGAAAGTTTTCAAAGTTTGATATCATTTCGTTTTGAGCAGAACATCGCGATACATGGACATTCTTGAATGACAGAGTCAAAGATGCTTTTGATCTGAAGAAGAGTATACAAGAGGTAAAGTAACCTTTCTCGCTATGACTTCATTCTTGTTGCTACAAATGTACAACATTGAAATGAAATCTCCTCATATGCGCAAATCCACAAATTTTTGGCAGGCCAAGTATTTTGCAGAAGACATAGGAGCTGGAGTTGGGAAATCGGTTCAAGGACTGATGAATGGAGTTATGCAGACCATGTCCAGAAGGAGTGGTGGCTCTGCGTTTTGAGAAGATCACACCTTAACACATGATTCTGCTTCACTCCTTAAGGATTCTCCAATATTTTGAGTTGGGATATGCTATAATAATAATGAGATTAGACTATATGACTTGAAGTGAAGGCATATGAACTATATATTATCATCTACGTTTGAATAAACCATTGAGTTTGAAATCTTTAATTTGTAAATGTGGATGAAATCTGTGCTGTGTTTGGTTATTCTGTGAGTAAACAGAGTTGGAAACTTTTAATCTTGGTACACTTCAATTTGGTATGGTGTTTATTGTTCGAAACAAACATATGGGGGTTTATTGTAATAATAAAAGCTGTGGTCCCGTGTAGAGACAGTTTTTTTTTTTTTTTTTTTTACACTTTGGCCCCGAAAAGATTTGGAAAAGTCAATTTTGGACAGCAGACTACTAACTAAATAAGACTCGAAGAGTAACAACAAAAGCTGGACTCATGCCAAGTTAGTAGAATTGAGATTTGGAGTTCGGACAAAGCTTGAGAGAGATCGGAGTATCGTGGAAGATGGTGAAGTCTTCAGAAATCGTGGGAAAACTCAATCTCAGGGCTCACCAAGAAGGCGGCTTTTTCGCTGAAACTTTCAGAGATTCTTCTGTTCTCCTCTCCACCTCTCAGCTCCCACCAACCTGTAACTCTCTTCCTCGTTTATTTGTATCTATCGCTTCTTTTCATTTGAAATCTTATTGATATAGTGTAGTCACTAGTTTCCGGTTTTCCATTTTGAGATCTCAGCGATTAAGATTCTCAGACATAACTGATGGCTTCCATAGAATTCTTTTGTCTGTCCTGTTACCAAGATCATCCAAATGCTTGTCTTGTGAATTTGCTTGGATCCTCTATTCAAAAATGTAATCAACAATGCTTAAACTTTAGATTTGGGTTATTGCAGATTATCTCGCAAGTTTGATCCTTTTTTTTCTTTCTGAATTTCTGCAGTTAAGGTGGACAGAGCTGTGAGCACAAGTATCTACTTCTTGCTTCCATCTGGTAGCGTTTCTCGTCTTCATCGCATACCAATGGCTGAAACCTGGCACTTTTATTTGGGTGAACCCCTTACTGTAAGTTTAATTCTCTTGCCATAACAGTGACAACAAAACCGTATAATGAGTATAATCCATGTTCTTGAATATTGCTTCTTCTTCTTGCCTTGATCAGGTAGTGGAACTCTACGATGATGGGAAGTTGAAATTCACATGTCTTGGTCCTAACTTGCTAGAAGGTGATCAGAAGCCTCAGTACACGGTCCCTCCAAACGTCTGGTTTGGTTCCTTTCCTACAAAGGATGTTCATTTTTCTCAAGACGGGACTCTGCTTAAAGCTGAGCCTAGAGACTCTGAGAACCATTTCTCTCTTGTCGGCTGCACCTGCGCTCCTGCTTTCCAGTTCGAGGACTTTGAGCTCGCGAAACGCTCTGATCTCTTATCGCGGTTTCCTCAACACGAGTCACTCATCACAATGCTATCTTACCCGGAGTGAAAGGGCCTACTAGAGGAGACACCTTAATGGCTCAATGGTTTTTCTTAACTACTACAATAAGATACACTTTGTCGCTTTGTTACTTCAATTATGAATCATACGAGGTTTTAATTGTACTTTGTGTTCACTTTTGATCTCTGTACATTTGTTATTTCTGAATTGTGTTTAATCAAATAATGATCAGTAAAGAACATGCTCAAGTATTAGATCACTCATAGCAAACCAAGAATATGAGTTTATGACATTGGAAAACCCCAACACAAGCCCATGTACTAAGTAGTCATGTAATCAAATCTAAAGTCATTGTGTTCTTGGTGACAATCTAAATCGTTTCTTCTTTTACTTTTCTTTGCACAATAAAGCTCAATGAGCTATCTTATTTTCAGTTTTAGAGCACATATCTATTTTGATTTGGTTTCTCTTCATCAAGTACCGCAACAATTTCATTCCATAAACAGAGCAGAGGATCTGCAACCACTAAGTTCCAAGGATTCATCAATGTCATCCACACATACACACATCAAGTAACATTATAACATTTAAGGATCTTCTGTATTCTCCATCTTCAGGTCTTCTAGTTTCTACGATGCTGCAACACATAACCAAATATCCTAATCGAGATCAAGGAACTCCATTCTTTTTCGCATTGTACCCTTCAAAAGCATTTCTTCTTTCTCTGCTTTCTGAGCCTGAGCATAAGGAGTCAGTAGAATCCCAAAACATTAAGCCAAATCAAAGCAAATCAGCTGTAGTAGATCCATTTGTGCAAGAAGCTCACAAATCAAAAATACTTTGAAGCTAAAGCAATCAACAAGGGAGAGAAGTAAACCACTAACCCTTTTTATCTCTGCTTCTGAAACCTGAACCATTTGAGCAGGAAGCTCTTCTTTTTCAACGTCCTAAGATCACAAAAACCAGATTCAATAGCGTCTTTAAAAAAGTCGAAAACTTTCATTTGAGAATGCAAGAGGAATTGGTTTGTTCAGTTAAAAGCTTACCAATTCACCAATCAAGACAACATTTTCTCCACGGATAATGTATAGACCTAAGGGAATATCACAGTAGAGATCACCCACGATGACTCTTTCATAAGCTTCTTCTATAACAGCATTAGCTTCAAGAAAACCAAAAACAAACGAAACATTTCTTAAAACCACTTGAAAGATTTTGGATTTTCGGTGCAAAAGAGAAAGAAACACAACAAAGTACCAAATTGATCAAATGACCGAAGTAGACCCATCAGTTTCCTACCATCACGAAGCAACACAAGAAGTTTCTCTGCAACAACAAAAAAAAAAAACAAAACATAAAGAGATTGTTGAACCATGTAGAAAAAGATAGAGAGAGAAATTACTGTCTAAGTAAGCAGCAAGAGAAGTGGAGAAGAAGATATCATCAGGAGCAGCCCAAGACATTGGAACTCTAACTAAGACTCAATCTCATCCACTCGCATTTGCCTTTTTGACTTGTCAGTTTCCCAATTCCCGATCTCTCTCCTTTTCCTCTCCTCGATAACTGAGCTCAAGAACAGAGAATCAAAGAACCCTAATTTTTCACTGAGAAAAAGAGAGAGACTTTGAGATCTATTGAATCGTTTTCGTTAAGTTTGACGACTCACTCACGATTCTCTTTTGTCGAAGTTTGGTCAGACTCCGACCCAAACTGAGTTTTTTTTAAACTTTTTAAAAATACATAAAAACCCCAAAACCTCCTAAATATTGCATAATCAACCCATTTTATTTTATTTTGCATATTGGTTTCATTTCATTTTCATGGACAGATTAGTATTATAGTTTCATATAGGTCTGGGTTTTCGGTTATCCGTTCCGTTATCGGTTGAGTCCATTCGGTTCTAAAATTTAGTATTCATTCAGATATTTTGAAATTTCGGTTTGGTTCCGGTTTTTTCGGTTTTAAAATTAGTATCCATTCGGTTATTTTGCTTAGGATATTTTCGGATATTTTAGTTATTTTTTGAGTATTTTCGGATATTTTTGGATATATTTTGGTTATTCTCGAGTATTTTTACTATTTTTATATATTTTTCAAGTATTTTTGATTATTTGGTCTATAAATAACTAATTATTTTGAAAATATAATTGTATTTCGGGTATGTTGGTTATCCAAAATATTTTGGTTCGATACCGATTCGGTTACGGTTATTTCGGTTATTAAATTTAGTATCCAATCAATTATTTTTAAATTTTCAGTTCGGTTTGGTTCCTTTTGCTTCGGTTTCGGTTCGGTACATTCGGTTCGGTTTATTTGCCCAGGCCTAGTTTCATAGTTGTATATTAAACAAGAAATCTCAGTCATTCATTATTCATCATTTATTTTAAACTGCATAAATACAAATAAAATTATTTGATAAGATGAATATTTATAGTTACATGAGCAAACAGATTTTCTTCACCACATTAAAATCTGAAAAAAAAACAAATCTATAATGAAAAATGGACTTTGACAAGTAAATATACATCTGTAAACAGTGATTATCAGAGATATTTCATGACCCTTCCTCCAATGTTTTTCTTCATATCTTCAACAGTTGAACTTACACCATTAGGTCCATTACTCATTTGAGACCTGAAACATAGAGATTTTTTATTATTATTTGTCTCATATACTTGCTACTTTTTTTTATATATTTTACATTAAAAATCAATTTTATAACAAAACTTTGGTTTTATTTACATTTTCTTATATTACCATGCCTATCAATCTCCATTTAGCTTATTGGTTGATATCTACATCTCCAAGACAATATCTGTAATCATCAAAGAAATTTTAATTAAGCTTCCCTATACCCATTCTTTCTTGTTTTACATTTTTCTATTTATTTATTTATCTATTTTAAATTCTTACACTCTTCATCTTTCTGCATTTTTTACCTGTCCTGATGTTTATTATATGCTTTTGACCTAACTATATACTGCAATAAAGCCAGCCATGATATACACTTGGTTAATTACACCATATGCATGATGAAATAAATCTTTTTTTATTTTTTGTGACCCGAAAATGAAAACCCAAATATATATTTAGAAAATCTCACATTCAGAATCAGTCTTGACCCATTTGTTGGCGTCAACACTTGAACGAGCTTCATCTACAATCTTATGATGATTCTCCAAGTACTTCTTTGCAATAGAATTTGAACGTTGTGGATGTATCTTCTTGTTGAGTATTGTCCTAAGCATCTGCACACAAGATAACATGGAAATATTGTTTATAGTTTACATATATCTTTCATAATTAAAATAAATAAATAAATAAAAGGATGTAGGGATTGAATCATTTATATATGCCTAGATAAAAGTACCTTTTCCATTCGTGTATTGTGCAATGAATCTCCTCTAGACAAATCAAGAAGAGGAGGTGGAGTTTTGAAGCCACTTGTGCAAACAAACATCTTCTTGAGAAGAAAAGAAAGTGATTTCTTCTTCCCAATAGTAACATCTGTATTAACCGCAGTTAGATCTAATTTGCTAGAATCTGTTTCTTCTTCTTCCTTGGGGCAGAGATTGTTTCCAAGTGTTCCAATGGCTAAGAAGGTTTCTTCGTCTTGAGGCAAACCTTGGACTTCTTTACTCAAAGGAGGACCTAATGATTCTTGAGCTATAAACACATATGAAAAATATGAAGATATGCTCAGTGATCTATGCTAAGACTGTTCATACTAGTAATGATAAGAATATTTACTCACAAGAATCTGAAGTAGGCTCATGCTTCTTTCCGCTAAGCTTTCTTTGAACCCAACTAAAAATCTGAGTAGAACAACAAGATCAAGATTTTTACACGATCAAAGAGAGATAAACACAATATAAATTCAATTTAGAAAAATATGAAAACAAACCTTCATATTTCAGAGACATATAAAAGCACATGTATATGTGTGTTTATCCAAGAAAATTTCTTTTTCTGTCAATGATCTCCAAGAAATTTTCTTTTTCTGTCAATGATCTTTTACTCCTTGAAATAGCTTTAGAGATAAAGATGATCAAGTGGTCCCATGTTTTTAAAGACACAGTAAACACAAGTCCCAGAAGCCAGCAATTAGAAAACTGGGTTCAAGTTCCTATAAACCCTCGATATCAGTTTCTTACGACTTCAAGTCACCATTTTCCTAGCACTTGATCCCATCTTTGTGGACTTTGTTGAATGTCGGTTCACCAAAATCGCATTCTATATAATATATGGACCGTTTTAAGAGATCGAAAACGAGTAAATTGTGAAGGAAACACATGGATATGTCTCTTCTTTTACACTTTCTCCCTGAAGCAACTATACAAAAGAAACCACAGCTTTTATATTTGATCAGGCCGTACAGAAGTTACATGCAGTGTGTATGTAAATGTACAAACTTACTTGAAACTTTTAAAGCTTTACACTCGAATTCAAAACCGTTTTTTTTTATAAATAATATAACTAACTACCCATCGTCTCCAGCACAGCAAACAGTTGAGCAACATTCAAAACAGGCGATGCAAGCAATCGCTGTGAAGAGCTGTGTGAATACAAGGACACATTGATCATTGAGCTTAGAGCAGCATTGGACACAACACATGCAGCAACATTTATTGCACAAGGAGACACAACAGCTCGAAGCAGCCTTGACGAATTTCTCAGCAGCATCAGGTGCTTTCTGCTCACCAAATCCTGGTGGAACATTCTCTCTGGTGGCTGTTTTATCACCAAAGCCTATCCCAAGGCTTTGTAGCGGGATTGTTCTTGATATCATCTTCTGTTTCTCTCCATTGCTTGTTGTCTGTTGAAACATGTGGTGAATATATGAGTTATAATGAGTCTGAATTGGTCCTTCGAACAGAAATAATCACTAGTCGATTTTAGTTCATAACTTCTAGATATGAGTGAGTACCTTTTTCTTTACGCCAGTTTCGCTGGGTTTTAATTCTTCTGTGTTCTCTAATTGGATCATTCGAGTATACTCGGATGGTACGCCAGTTTGGATGCTTAGTTTGGCAATCTGAGAAGAAGAAGATAAAGCAAAATGAAGAAGAAAATCCTGAAGAAAACAATGGGGGAAGTGATTGTAGACAAACCTTCTCTTTTAGCTGTTTATCTTCAGAGAGCCATACCTCAGCAGTAAGCAAGTCAATCACATTCTTTGCAAATACCTGTACATTAAAATTTAGGGAAAAAGATAATTTATGTAAAACCCAGAAGTCTTTATCGAATGAAGCTTCATAGGAATGACACTGAGCAGGAAGTATATCTTACTTTATCAAGAGGCATATCTTTTGCACTTCGTACAGTCAAGTCTGTAGAAAAGCTGCTCAAATCTCCTAGCAGACCTTTGGCTATCACATTCTCGGGGAACTTTCCTCGGTATCTTCCATATATCATCAATGGACTTGCAGATGTCAGATCCGGAATATTCGAAGGGTATACCTATTATTGTAGTTACAAGTAACAGTTTCAGTTTCTAGCATCAAATTCACAGAACCGGAAGGAAAAAACAATTCCCGAAAACTCAAGCAAACAATCTTAGCATAGAGGCACACCTCAACTTCATCTAGACTCTGAAGGGGCTCAATTGTTATATTAACAAGGATGGTAGATAAAGCCTTTGTAAACAGTTTGTCCATTCGTTCCTCGATGTGATCTGGACATCAAAGAAAAAATTGTTTAAGAAACTATATTACAGTAGCACAGACGTTAACAACTTTTTCCTTTAATTCACCAAAAACATAGTCAAATTTTCACCTGTATTATAAACTGATTCGTGCTGGCCGCAGGATAGATTTGCAAGAATTTGCAGGAAGTAGTGATTACAGAATATACCTGAAATATTGCAAAGAGTCCAAAAACGAAAAGGTAAACAAAAGCTAATCCTGATTACTTTACATCAAAACCTTGGAGAAAAGTTTACCTAACCCAAAAGTGTGTATCCGTGGACACACTGATCCAGCACTAGCTAGATGTTTCTTCATTACATCACAAATGTGTCTCTCATCTTCAACAGACCCATCTGTTACGAAGAAAATCATAGGAATAGAGCCACGAGTATTTGAAAGCATTTCCACAGCCTGAAAGTATTAAACGAAGTTGGCCGAATTAATGTCAGGATACAATCTGAGGGGATATAATAACCAAAAATGCCAAGCTACAAATGAGTGGCGGAAAGACCTTCTCTAGGGGAAGGAGCATGTTTGTACCATCTGCGACAACAAAGTTCTTATTCATCCACTCAATGCCTCTTTCAACAGCATCGGAAGTGACCGACTCCATCGATGTCGAAAACAGAGAAGTATCATCGCTGAAAGTGATAATATTGAAGGAATCTCCAGGACTAAGCTTAGATAGAGCTGTGGATATCGCATTGTTTACATCCTCAAGAGGTTTTCCAGTCATGCTTTTACTTATGTCAACAACAAATACCACCTCTCGCTTAAATGCCTAGAGTTGACAAAAAGAAACTTAAGAAAATTTGCATTTTTATTGCACTGAAAAAGAAGAGTTCAAAATCAAACCTTAGTTTTTTGCTGCTTTCCTGGAAAAAGATAGAAAGAAAATACGTCTCTCTGATCATCATCGTGAACAGGCGCAGATTGAAGGAAAAGTCCACCAACTATATTACTTGAGGAGGCCTACGATTTGTTGGAAAATAAAATAAAAGCATAAGCACTCTTTACGACTAAATTCAATGCAAAACTTCGCAAGTGCAGACGCGAAGTTGGAGCACCAGTGAAAACCTATACCGTATAAGAAAAACTAAAGTCCGTGTTTGACCACTTCAAAACATCTGCTTCATATACAAACCTCAACTTCCCTGCACTTCGCAATTTCTCCTGTAATAGATGAAAGGAATAAGAGTTACAGGATAGAGCAAAAAAAAAAAACTGAAATATTATGGAGCTGTGTTCGGAAAAATCTAAAAAATCAAACCTTTAGTTGATGACTGCATCCTTTGCAGAGAACTTCAGTTCCAGTACCAGCATTAACACTCAAGTATATCTTTTCTCTCTTTGAGATTTTCTTTACCGCAGGAGTCACATACTCAGGAAAGTTGAAAGGAATATCGAGAAAAAATTGCCCTTCGTTATATGTCAACTTCTGAGACCAAGTCATCTTGATAGAGAGGTTGGTACCTCCATCAACCTGGAAACAAGAAAAGAAACGATAGATATAATGAGAATGAAGAATAAAAAAAAAAAAAAAAAAAATACAAGAGTAAGAACATTTAACTCCAAATCACCTGTGGTATTGTAAGAATGAATATGTTTGGTTTCAAGAAGCCTCCAGTTTCAGGTAGTGCAGTTTTCTCGAATTCGTTTCCATCTTCGGCTGTGATCAACTGCGTTGTGTAAGATTTTCTAGGAATCTCAACCTCAACACCTAGAATTGAACCCTGTTAGCCATATAGTATTAGTTTGAGATAGCCCATCAGAGACAAAAAGATCAATGTTCAATAAATTTGTGAAAACAATAACATTTTAGCTAGTATAAACTCATTAAAGAATTCACAGATCACTGGAACAACTCCGAATTCAAAGATAATCAGCAATTCATGAATAATAGTCTAGGGTTTATTGCATCATCCACAATAATAGAAAATGATAGAATCATAGATATTCACAAATCCCCAATTCCACATCGTATCTTCAGATTGAGAAACGAAAACCCTAAAATAGTGAACTAATTTCAATAAGAGAAATCTCAATTTTCCCGGGAAAAAAAAACCACAGACCTGTTCTCCCATGGGAATTGCAATTCGGCAATCACATCTCTTGCTTCCCATAACACAATGAACCCGCCACGATCCGGTGACGGTAACAAGAGCCGTGTCGAGATAACAATCAACATCAAGCTCAATCGAATTCATCTGCAAAGGGATCAGAGCCGGTGGGTCGCACCTGCCGTGCACGTGAGGCTGGTAGCTAGGCAAATCCGGGTTATCCACAATTCCCGGGTCGGGTATAACAGCGTAAACCATAGGTGCCGTAGGAAGGTAAGACTGCGTCGTGGAAGATCTCTCCATCGGAGCTGGTGGTCTCGGCGCCGCAACGGCTCGGTCTTTGCCGAAATAAATCCGTTTCGCGAGTTTAAGCCCATCGTCGACCGCTCTAGCGAAATCCTCCGCCATCTTTCCCACTCAGACGGCGAAGAAAATGTTGTCTCTGCCCTCTCTTTTTCTTTCCTAAATTTTCTCGGGAAAACGAAAATCGATGGACGAGACGTTGAATTGAATCGATTCGGTTTCTTTCTTCAGACAATCAGAGTCGAGTATTTTCCAGCGCATAAATTGATTGTCACTAAATTTAATCTAAATTGTTTTAATTACCAAAATACCCTTTTTCCTTTTTTTGGCCCGATCAAGATCCAACGGTTTAGAGTCACTTAAGCATGCCGACAAATCCATGTGAACGAATCTGTTGTGTCCACGTGATACAACGGTATTGTAAAATGTGGTTGAAGCATCTGATTCTAGCCTTTAACGTTGTTCAACGGTAAAATCTCTCATGGATGTTTGTGCGCTCTCACGTGACTAGCCGTTGGCTCATGGGCTTTCCATGCGCTTAATGTGGTTGTTGGCATCAGCTGTGACGTATCACTTACACTTACTTTTGGCTGGATTTTTGTTATTTTTTTGAGAAATTGTTAAAAATGCCCCTTTTTCAATACCCCTTTTCAAAAATGTCCCCTTTGAGAGTCCATTTTTAAGTTTGCCCTCTTTTAATTTTTAATGACCATTTTACCCTTATTTGAAACAAAATTAGGTCCACAAAATACAAAATATTTTTTGGCGGGAAAAGTGATCCCGCAATTTTCCCGCCAAAACACTTGTAAAAACCTTTAAAAAACCTTGTAAAATTTTCCCGTAAAAATTTTTCCCGCCAAAAAATTTTCCCGCCAAAAAAATTTTTTTGCGGAAAAGTGATTCCGCAATTTTTTTTGCGAAATTTTTTTGGCGGGAAAATTTTTGGCGGGAAAAATTTACAAGGTATTTTAAAGGTTTTACAGAGTATTTACAAGTGTTTTGTAAGGTTTTACAATGTATTTTAAAAGGTTTTACAAGGTACTTATAAGGTTTTATAAGGTATTTATAACTTGTAAAACCTTATAAAAAACTTGTAAAACCGTATAACTTGTAAAAACCTTATAAAATAGCTTGTAAAATCTTATAATATCTTATAAATACCTTGTAAATACGTTGTAAAACCTTTTAAAATACAT